TGCCAATTATATCCACAGCTCGAGAGAGAGATACGAACTTTAAAAACAAGCTATTCTGATTATTATGAGTTACGTAAAACAGAAATAAACGAGATTTACGAGCTTCTCTGGAACGCTCTCGCGTCCGTTGAGTCGCGAGATTTCAGTCAGTCTCGGACAGACAGCGGAGACGCGGGTCTATCAGACTTCGATCTCAAACGTCTTTTTTTTTATTAATGATTCTCGAAGTAAAATAACGCCGAAATAACGTCCGCTTAGAAAATCGATGGAGGAAATAAAATCTGTTTTACGATCTGAAATTGCCTCAATTTCCATTCGCGTATTTTTATAGTCGAGCAAATCTGCTCCGAATTTTCCGCGGAATTCAGCATGTACTCGCGCGGAAAGAAAAGAAGGAGAAGCCGCGGCGTCCCCGTGTGGCATTTTATATATTCCGCACGTTAAAGCTTGAAATAAAAGAGGAAAAATATTCATGGGCGAAAGTATCTTTCCGAGCGATCTATGTATACGAAACGAAAACTAGGTGCATGCTCTTCTGGGGTCGCGATGAAAAGATATCCTCGCGGCCCCCGCGGTTTCCTTCGCCTCGGTAACTGGACGGTCGGTGGAAATAAATCCGCGGGATGCGCGCGGACAATTATCGCTCTGTGCGCCGAAGAGAAAATGCGCGCTCTTATGTGTGCGCCGGGTGTTTGAACGTTAAATTGGCCGTTTCGGGGACGGCATCCGATAAAACGGAGGCAAGAGGCCACGAGACGCGAGAAGACCGCGCCGTTGGAGGCAAATAACTGCGTTGCCGGGATAATCTTCGCGTATAGGAGCGTAACTTTCAGAAACGCGGCGGTCAGTCTTGAAAAAAAGCGGAGAAAACTCGCTTGGACTTGGCATCGTAAAAAATGCCTTTAGGTGAGATTGTTGTGGCCGCATTCACGGCCACGTGTATGCAAATGCGTTTTTCTTCAGCCCATTGTTGTACGTTGTTACGCGCTTCTCATCGAGCAAAACAAGCCGATGCGTCGTTACGATGGAATGCATATATAATTCGTATACATATAGATGAACGACTCGCTGCGCGGAGAAAACGCGCGTACGTTATGAAGATGTCAATCTTTGCTTACGAGTAAGCTGTGAGTAAAATATCGGCGTGATGCAATAATCGTGTGTAGTCAATTATCTAAATTTTTCGCATAAAAATTTGCAGCTATCGATTGATAAATGAATCAATTATTAAAGTTACAGTGACAAATGTAGAAAATATCTTTTTTTTAATGTCTTAAATAATTTATATGAATATTACAAAATAAAAAAAAATACTTTAATAACACCAATAACTATTTTTTACTAATTTTATATTGTTTAAAATCATTAACGGGATTAAGGTTTTAAATTCAGCTCTTCGCGAGCATGTTTTATATCGCAACTAACGTATACACAAAAAATACGATAGATCAATATATGTCAATTTTCTCACATTCGTTAACGAGAAATTCTCTATCTCTTTTCCTCTTCTCGAATTGTTTTAATAATCATATCTTTCCCGCACCGCAAAGCGGGGCCGCTCGCCCCCCCAAACAATTCGGTCAGCTGGTCTTTGTGTTTTTTTTTCCCCCCCGCCGCGATGCAAATGCGAGTAGATTGAGTAACCACCGCCGACAATTGCCGCACCCTCCCCGTCCCTTTTGCGTGTCGTGCGAGAAATATTAATACCTTCCACTTCCTTCCGGGGAACACCCGGCACGCGGGGGAACGGCCGGGTCCCCCTTCGGCACACCGAATCCGAAACTCGTTTTACGTAGCCGCGTGCGTAAACGTAAACGTCGCCGCGGTCTAAACAACGTGTACACCGTCGCCGTCGACAGCCGCGAGGGCGAAAACCCAAACAACACTTTTTTGAGCGCGTGCGGTCGAACGCGCGCGTGCGAGAGGGTATACAATTAGCGGGCTGTACACTCCTCTCTCGCCGCGCGCGGGCGAATTACATACAATACTCGGTGGATGGATGCTCCGCGAAATTGCTTACGGTCTATATACGGTGGTAAGGTGGTTTCGTTTGGAGCGCGGAGAGGAGAAACGTCGAACTGTGTGCAAATCGCCGACGCAAGGCTGATTTTCCACCGACTCTCGCGACGGGCGCAGCCGCTTCTTTCAGTCGCGTCTCCGTATCTAAAACATCTTCGTCGGGCGACCCGATTTACTTTTGTCGCAGCTTTCGCAAATTAAATTTCGTGATTTTCATGGAGCCCTCTCTCACCGCGATAACGCAGGAGATATCTATCGTGGCGGTCGCACCGTAAGTAACTATCGCTAGATAATCAATAGATCCAGTTGTAATTTACATAGCTCATTGTTTTAATCCACAAATAATTATAGCCTCTTTAGGAATGAGTTTTTAAAGAGAATAGTGATTTAATCCTTTCTTCGTTCGCGCGCGTATTTTATTTTATTTAAATTAATTAAACGAAGAAGGAAAGAGTGAAAAGATTTAGGAATATTGTAGTTAATATTGCTTATTTCTTCTCTTTTCCGTTAGCAATATTAGAAAAATTAAAAGAACTTCAACGTAAACATATATGCGAACGTCCCTGAGTAAGTTGAAGCGAGATGGGAGAAATAGTGCGAAATCATGTTTCTTTTTTCTGTCGCATTAAAAGCGACACGTGTGCTCTTTTATAATTCTGTTGTCCTGTTATCTCCGTGCACCTCGACTTTGTATTATCAGTATTAGTTTCAGCAGCTTTGCATATGAATGACGAAAAAAATGACGTTCTATAAGATTTGCAATGTACGCCATTTCTCACGTTCCTTATTCAAATTCATATCGTATTTTCGATCTTCCAATGAGTCAGACTCTGCTGACAAATGTCTGCTTTAAACAATTTATAAATCGTGACAGAATTCTATTTGTAATTCTATATACATGCGAGCTTGTAAGACGAGAAACATCGAAGAGTTAGAATATATGCGTATATAAAATATGGGACATATGAAAATGTGAATAGAATTCTATCTTGAATTCTCGCATAAATCATATAGATATGCCTGAAGTGATTTTAAATACACGCTTAATATGAATAAGAAATCTTGAATTATACACTGGAATAAGTGAACGTCGTTCATATTAATATATCGCCATGCATATGGATATAAAATTATTATTTTAAATGCTTCTTAAAGAAAAGATTATGACGGTGAACGCTGCATGTGCTCATTATTTTTTTTTTCCACTCGCGCGTGGCATTTGAAGAAGCATTATCAGCGGTCGGAATCAAGGGCGGAAGCTGTTAAGCGATAACTATATGGTCCTTCAGCTTCGGTCGTTCAGGCATCATCGTAAATTGACGTCGAAGTTTTCATTCGGACAGTGACCGAGAGTGGAGATGCCTCTTTCGCAGGACCCGGTAATCAACATTTTTTTTTTTATAACCAGTTATACGAAATCGAAACTGCTTCCGACCACGAATAAATTTCGCACCGACAGGTCTTTCTGTCTGCTTAAGCTAAAAAATATTCTCTTTAATCTTTGAAGGGCCGCAAGCCTTTTTTTTTTAATTACAAAAATTTCGCTCTAAAATATCTTTAATATATAATCAGATGCAAAATGTGATGTTAATTTCGAGACGTTATATAACGTCTCACGGCATTTTAAAGAATACATCTGAAGACACGCGATAAAGACTTACGATTTTTTCAAAGTGCGTTAAACAGCTTAGCAATTTCTCTCTCTTTTATAAATAAATTTTTTTATAAAGATAGTTTCGATTCTTTCACGATGTCTGTGATTTATGTGTCAGCCGGTGAGAGAGATTTTCTTCGTTATTTCTCTGTCGTGTTGCAAGACCCGCATAAAACTCGGAAAGGATCTTCTCGTGCGGATAGCGGAAACAAATTGCGCGTTTAGGGATTAGAACGGCTTTCCCAGGATTGTGTGTGTCTCGCGTTACATTCGCAACGACGACGGATGACTAATTTCATGTCATTAGCATATATGCTTGATGGTTGATCTTAGCGCGATTAACATGCGTTTCCCATGCGTGCAATGATACTTGATTTTCGTCATGTTTATATATTTCCTAGCGATTATGACGGGATCGCCTGCGTGTAGCGGTGAACGCCGTCTGCATCCCGGATGGAAAACCGCGTTGCAATTACCAGTCATCAGTCTCTGAGATACAGCGGCCGGAAGCGGCGGCGGCGGCTTTATCCGATTTTACACCCGAGTCCGTGGAAACCGTTTCGCAAGAGAACCGGCGGTCGCGATCGCGATTGTAAATTGAATTCCGTTGGCGTGGCGGCCAAGTAAGAGTGATATCTCAGTGAAATCATCGATGACGATGACGACAGAAAGCCGCGATGCGGCGACGCCCGCCCGCGCGAATACGGGGGGGGGGGGCTTTCGATTCCTCCTCGCCTCTTCAGTGAGGCAGACGCGAAAGTGGCCGTTTCGTTGACCACTCGTTCCGAGAAAAGCGGGCCAAACGTGCATCAGAAATTAATTGATTAGAATATAACATGATTCTTTAATATGAGTCATTTAATACATCGAGAGAAAAATATTGGAATAACCATAATTTAACTATAATGAATTATAATGAATTTCGGGGACAACTATAAAATTATAATTTAATCATGCAAATTATAGCTACTTTAATGCATTATAGTTATACATTATGATTGATATTATTATTTTTTAGTTATTATTATAATATAAATAGTAAGCAAATGTTAAGAAAATAGACAAAAAAGTTATAATTGCAGCTTACTATAATTGCAGTTGCATTTACTACATAAAAATATTTATTTCATTTGTCATATATATATCTTGATATTTTATTATATTTATTAATATTTGAAAATATTGTAATTTATAGTAAAATTTTTTTATATTTAATAAAACTATACATATAAGGTTATTATTGCTAACATTTTAGTAATAATAACTATAAAAATAGTGCTTCTCTAACCATAATTTTTTTACCATGCAATTATAGTAACAAAACAAAATATTTTTCTCTTAATGTACAAATTAATTATATAGATAATTTAATGTGTAAATTAATAATACCGAAAGGGCGGAATTTCTTTTATGACACATCATTGAATTCATTTCAAGAATAAATTGATAACTTAGAGACTGCGGTAGCTACAGAAGAGGAATGTGAAAATTGAATGGACAGCTATAATAATTTCAAGAATTAGACTTTAGATAGAGACGCCGATGAAATTACAAGCTCGTCGGTCTAATCCGTTAATTAGACTTATTAGACCGTAGTAGTTTGTCATCGGTTTTTTTTTAAGTGAAAAACCTTGTATGAATAGACCAGCTTGGTGTTCAGTGTTGGATGCTTGGAATCTTTCGTATGTTAACTGTAATCATAAGCCGCCGTTAATCAAGTCCACGTATGTGTTTCAGGTGATTACTAACGGTCTCAAGTGCGACTCGGACGACGTCGACGGTTTGACAAACGGTGAGTCACTCGAAGTTATAACGTTGTCTCTTTTCTCTCTCTCTCTCTCTCTCTCCCCGCCTCTTCTTTTTTGTCTTCTTCCTCATTCATTCCTTCGTAAAGAGACGCAATCAACGATGACGACCGCACGATATTAGGTTCATTCGATGCGCTCAGCGGTACCTTAGTTTCATTGACGAAATCCCATCGCATAAAGGAGCCGTCAATGAGACGATTCAGGGCTGTACGAAAGTTTTTTGACCTTTCCCTTCAATCCTTAGTCTTTATTAATAAAGAAATACTGTGTTGTTATCGTTACTACCAATTAACCTAAAATATCTTTATTCGTCAAGAATTTTTATTAAATAATTATTGCATAATCGTTGAGAATTAATCGCTTGGATTAGAAATTGAACGTGTGTAAAAGTGAATCAACTATCTTCAACTTATTTGCTAATATGTACCTGATAATTTCTTTTCTATAATGAAGAAGCCTTTAGGAAGAAATTTAAGTTATGAATAATGAAGTTAAGCAATGAAGTTTCGTCTTCAGATTTTGTTTCAGATTGATTTTATTTAATTACTTAGCCATTACGCGATGACTTTCACAATTTAACACGCCTAGTTCACCGACTCTATGTAGACTGTTTTTACGTCAGTATTAAGTACTTCGTGAAACTAACGTTTCTCTCTCTCTCTCTCTTTCTATCTCTCTTTCTTATAGTGGCATACGAAATGCATGGACTGCAAAGAACGCGCGATTTTATTTTAAAGGAGAAACGTGACGGTCGTATATTGCTCGTTATCGTTCTAATTGGATCCTAATGTTCGCGGGACGATTTTGCACTCCTGATGGAAATTTATAACTCCCGGTTTTTACAACTCCGGCTATAATTTACAGTGCGGTTTTCCCCTCGTAAATCAAACGCGCCACGTATCGGCGTTTTTATTACCGCTTATACGACACGCGTGTATCTAATTGCGCTGTATGTTTTCAAAAAATCACAGCTATTTTCAACGATAATCACTCCGGAGTACGTACTCGTAGGCTTAATAACTCGATTCTTACAGTTCAAAGAAGGATTACTCTTACCAAAAATATTTATTTCTTTTCATATTTTAATATAATTATAATTCAATTTTAATTTATTTGATTTCAAATCAAATTTCTATTTTCCCCCAGAATTAAATACTGCAGCTGCGTTCTTTTACTTTGTACGATAATGAGCGGTTAGAAACAAATCAAAGATTTAAAAAATATTACAAATATTAAAACTCGAATCTCAAAAAAATTTATGTCGCATCTATTTGTCTCTATAAGATTATCGCGTGAAAAGAAAGTGTTAAGTGTATTAAGTGTTTCTATATCTTTGTTTTATATTTCATAACTTATAACATCCATCGGTCTTTTATAATGCCGATATTATAAATTTAAATAAACGTTATAATATTTCATCTTTTTATAATCAAAGAATATTATTTTCCAAAAAATTACCTATTAAGCTTTTCGAAAAATGTCTCTTCATTTGTAACCTGCACTGCTCCAGAAGTCGCAAAGTCAAAATGTGTCAAAGACAGACGCGCGCTAATCTGTCTACAAATTGCCCTGTCGTACTTCTAAACTCCTGAGATTATTTAGGGCAACACAGAGCTCGACAGGGGAGGTAGCTCGCGCTTTATAAATAGCACAGCGGATTTCCCGGATAAGTATAACGTATACAACGGAGGCGGAGGGTTTCATTGACGTGCGGCTCTTGGGGACGCCGCGAAGGAGAAAGCGTGTTTTTCTCCTCGTGACGTAACTACTCGTCGTCCTCGGCGAGGTTGCGACGGCCCTGACTTTGCCCCTTCGGTTCACCAGTCATCCCCGGGTGCGAGCGAACGAGCGCCGCACCGTAGCGCAGCGCAACGTAGGACGCTCGGCGCGGCGACGCACGATGATCCTGGCCCGCATTTTCTCACGCTACTTCAGCTGCTCCTTGCCGGCGCGGTGCAATGATCTCCCTTCCGCGGCCGCACATCTGCCTGAAAATTACGCCCCGAGCCGGCTTACGCGCGTAAGCGCGTCTCTCATCTCCCTTCCCTTGCCTCGCCTCTCCTCGTACACGAGTCGTTAATTCGAGATCCGCCGCGTCATCCTCGCGCAGGAGACGCTCACCCCCTTGCACCCCCCTCCCCCCCGGGTCCTTGAATCTCCGGCCCCGAGATTAATCCCTTCGGACACGCTTCGTCCGAAGTTCGAGGATGACCCCGGCCCGGCCGCACCGTATAATTTTCTCTTATCGCACACTACCGACCAACTTCAATTTAATTTTCGAGGTAATATAAATCGCATAAATAAAATTAATTCTCTCCAATTTGAAGATTGGAATAAACAACAAAATGTTATTCCCCTTATTATTTAATTCCTCGTTATTAAATTTGAGATTCAGTCGCTAAGACTGCAGTGCAACTTTCGACGTTAATGATCGAGGGACGAAGGAAACGTGGCGTTCGTTTTAAATTACACGGAGGCCGATAGCGATGTCTCGTGGATATTATTTAAAGATAGTGATTACAGAGAGAGAAACTCCTGCATTATTTCATTTCATAACAAACGCTGCTTTTGTTTAGATATTTATTTCTATACCTTCCACTCGTCGGAATCTTTTTGCGAACGATTATTGTGTCAACTTTAAAGTGCCAACCGCTGTCGATTGCATTAATTAGCGACGCTTTTATTGTTGCGGGCTCGCGTTTTCCTAACGGAGCTTTTTATTTAAACATGGAAATCAATTGCGTGTATAGCGACGATGAAGTTAGGTAAGCTCGACCGGTGAAAGTAGGAAGGAGGAAGAGGATAGGGATGCACGAAACGGGGATAACGCGCGGGTCCGTATCGCGTCGCGGATTATTAGATCATTATGTCATCTTTGATTTAGTGCGCGGCCGGGCCACGTAAGGCTCGTCCGAGAGTGTAAGCGACCGCGATCGCTGCGATGGGTGTAATAATCTTTCTCTTTCCACCGCGGGATTCAAGGATAAGCCGTATAATTATCGGTTGCGATGCGCGATACGCGGATAGTTTCGTAATTAGATTTTAATTGTTAATGAATAATTAGCAATTATACCGTAACCGCGATTACGGCCTTAATTGTTACGACTTCGAGCCGCCTGCGCGGTTTCTCTCTCTCTCGCTCTCTCTCTCTCTTGATAGTTTTAGAGGCGCCTCGAAATATACGCGATTAAACGAGCTCCGTTTAACGAGTGGATCTAATTCTTTTTTTTTGTAATAAGCTAATATAAAATCTAGTTTAATGGCTTCGCAACGTCGTTTATCATCTCGCATCTTCCATACTTATCATTGCATTATTTTTCCTCGCAAGTTTTTTTACGCTCTAAATTTCGATAAGTAATTCGCGGTTAAATAACAGAATCGTTATCGTTTATCTGCTCAAATTGGGGACTTATGGCGAGGAGCTTTAATAAACGACAAATATAAATCAAATTATCTACAGCAAATGGTAAACAGCATTGAGAGATGGGAAATTTCTTTTTAAGACCAAATCGATACCATGTTCGCGAAGCCTGACGCTAATACGATTAGAATCGACAGAGATACGCGGAATAAAATTTTATAGCCTCGCCTCGATAGTCCTTTATAGCTTCGTAAATTTCCCGATGGTTAGCATTAAATTTCCGAGATCGCCGCGCCTCCCGAGATCGAAAGTGAGAGTTACGGTTTTTTGCTTATCGAGAGATCGAGGAAAGTGTCGTTGTGCGAGGGATTATTTCGCGGCTGCAGTAAACTTTCGATTCTGGATCTCGCAAACGCCCGTCATTATCCCGCGCACGCCCGTTTCCTTCGCGCGTCGAGACGTAAGTACGTCTCGCTTCGGGGGGTGAGCGGCGCGCGGCGCGGCCACGTTACGGTACCGCCCGCGCCGCGCCAACCCGCGCCGCGAGGCTGTAAAACACGCTCCGCTCCGCACGCGATTAACGACGCGTCGCGCCTCGCCGGACGTCCCGGGCGCGAAATTCACTTTCCGCTCGTAAAATCCAACAATCCGGATCCGGTCCGGATGATCCTCTCTCGTCGTCGTCCGTCGTCGCCGATGACGACGAGGGCCGCCCACGTTGTGACTGTCGTGAGAGCGCGTTACTGACGGCCCGCTTACGAGCCGCCAGATCGTTGAGAACGTAATGGAACTTGTGAATCAGAAAAGCCGCGCTCGGCCTTCCCGTAAAGTGTTCTCTCCTCGGAAGAGAAATTTTATTGGTTGTCGTAAAAAAAACGATATAATTTCCTGGCAAATGTCTGCGCTTTGACCGGAATAGTCTCCTCGAGTTTTTAAGTCATCACGGCGCATTCGCCGGAACATAAATAACTGGGACGTTCGACGATTATCTGCGATTCTGACGTCTTACGAGCTTTTGGATTTTTTCCCACCGAAATTGTACTGTCTTCGTTCTCTGTAGGATCATCGTATTTCCATGTTTCTGCATCCCCGAAATCTGCGGAAACCGAGGCCCTTGAGATTTTGCTCTGAGCCCTCCCGAAGATCCGCGGATCTTCCGATCGTATCCTCTTTATGTCTTACTGTAATTCTACTATAAAATGTATAAATTTACGTGTTTATAGGCGTCCCTGTTACAGAAAAAAAAGAAATAAAACGACTCTTGGATTCCCAAAAATGTCAAGGATAGAGATATCAATCGTTATCATTTATCGTTTGGTAAAGCTACGCAGATTAGGGATTTTAGATAAATCCTGATAATTTATCAAAAATCTTATTAATCTTATTAATTTGTGATTGCAACACGCGTTGTGTAACGTCATTCAATCGAGTCGAAACGTAATCGCGCGTGCAGTAACGGAAAGAATTACATCACCGTGCGACTTAATATATACGCGCGGCGCCGATCGAAATTCAATAATTTCCGTCGAAGTGCAACAAGGTGGTAAACATGACACGTGCGCTCTTATATAATCCTGTTATCCTGTTACCCGCGTGCACTTTCCTCGGCTTTGCATTGTCAGTCTCTTTTCAGCTCCGCGTATGAATGGCAATAAAAGAACGACAAATAATGTATGCCAGGTCTTTCAAGACTTTACTCTCAAGGCATTCGATCGTGTCTCGTGAGTCTTCGAGATTTTGCTTATAATATTTATCAAAAATCCAGACTTGAGGATATATATTAATAATATTAATTTTAATTTATTTCAACTGCGCGTTTTAATGAATAATAAATTGACCACTTAATATTAATAGGCGTATTGCGATGAATATTGATGTATGTATTTAATCGCGTGATATATAGATAATATCGTTATCCTCAAATTACATAAATAATTAATATATTGTGTCTGATTTTTTCTACTCGCCGGTATTTTTCAAGAAAATTTTGTCGGTGGTTTAAATAAAGAGAAGTTTTCGTGTTAACTATAAATTTTATTTACGATCGTATAAGTCAATGTGGAGATTTTCACTTCTAAAGCCATGCCGTTGTGCATCCTCTCGTGGGGCCCGATACTTCCGATGCTGTATAAGTATTGAGCTAACTTACATGGCAATTCAATTTCTTGCAAATCGGCACCAGTGGTATTTGTATTTCCCATGTGACGGCTGACGATGCACAACGGCGCGCGAGCAGACGATCGCGTAACGGGCTTCCAATTGTCATGCATAACGTCATCTTTCTATGCATCATGCATCGATGAACCTAAGCTGAACGTTATTCGATGAAAATATGCGAATACCTGGCAGAATCGGAGAACCGAATTAAATAGAAAACAAATGAACGTACGTTTAGTTCAATTTTTGCGTCGCTGCGGCGCGTGTTGTGGAATAGTTAATCAATTTTTTGTTAGTGAAGTAAATTATACCGTGCGCCTTCTGGCGGAAACGCGATGTGTTTCAACCTACATTTTACAAAAGTGCTGCGAAATAAAAACACTCGTCGCGCGTTTCTTGTCGAATCAAAAGCTTGTCGTATCATCGCTATAACTATTGGCGTAAACACGACGAAATATCGCGGCAATTATATACGAAATAATTAGTAATCACCGTGAAAGTCCGTGCACACAGAGCGTGCGTTTGAATATCTTCTAGCTCGTGCTCGAGAAAGATCAAAAAGTGAGATATACTTTCCGTCATTCATCGTTCAATGATTACGCGCGCTCGTATGTCTAATTTTCGAGTACTCGCTTATCTCGGTGCTGCGCACTTATCTACACTAATGACGCGTTACTGTATATGTGCACATATACAGTAATGCGCGTATATACATGTATATACGCGCGTTACGCCAAGGCTTATCTCGTGGCTTTCAAAAATTCGGATCAATGCACCGTCGCGGCGAGTCAATGACTCCGCGAATAAACAAACAGAGCAGGCGCACCCGTGTGTGAATGTTATAAAGAAATGTCTTTCCTGACTGAATACCTAATTTTTTTGTTTTCAAGCGCAAACAGCGTTTTCTCCGCCACACGGAAAGAACGATTTTGTTGAAAGATCTAAAAATTTTGTCAAAAACAGATCTGAAAATAATTTTTTGTTGAATCATCAAAATAATTTGTTGTAATGTTAAAACTGATAAGCGATGCTATAAAACATTTTGATATTCTAGCAATCACTTTGACTTTCGCACAAAATTATTTTGAATATTAAACAAAAATTATTTTCAGATCTGGATTCAGTAAAATTGTTCTTTCCGTGCACGCGCGTAGAATTTTTCGTCACGAGTCTTTTCGTCAGATTCGCGAGAAGAGACACTCCTAACGATAAAATTTAATACGGTTTAATACGGGTGTTTTTTTGACGTTTGCAATTTGAGGTCACTTAAATTAAATATCCGTGACCTCTTCCTGTCACCGGATTTCCATAAAATCGCGTATGGAGTCCGCGCGATGCACGCGAACGAAACACTCGCTCACTTTCGCGGCCTCGTTTCGCGACTCGATCGAACATTTCATCGGGCGGGCTCGAAATGAATTCGCTCGTTTTTTTCCGTGGTGTACGAATGTGACGTGAGAAGCATATCGACGATGTTTCGCACCTGCGATTTTCACGAGAAATTTCCGAGGTAAATCGCGAACCTCCAATTAGCTATGTTCGCACATATTCCCGCCAATCTTCGCATATATGTATAAAAAGTTAATGGTATTTCATTTATACGTAAATATTATAACGCTCTAATAATTTACGTATGAATATCATATCGCTAATAATATAATATTATATTATAGAGCATAATTCAATATTACAGCGCTAATAATCTTGCTCTGCTAACTAATGTTAATAATAACCTCGTTCTCGCCAATATTAACGAATGAGATTCGAAAATCGATTCAAATACGTGGATTGAATGACATCATTTTATACTTTATAGCTTTTCAACTCGACTGGTGATTTTGCAACGTTATCTGGACGGGCACGCGGAAATGACATGCTGTATCAATCAAACCGGTAGGACCGTGGTATCTTGAATAAACGATGATAAGCAACGGGACGACAAATGTACATATATCCAGCAATGCGCCGTCGATATTCCGGGATTGTTGCCGGAACGCGGGGCGCGAGAGAGCCTCCCGAGCGGCGCGTACCGAGGAAAATCGCGACGCGAAACATGTCCGACGATTCTTACAGCGTGAAGCTGCGATTTCGAAACGGTACGATTTTTATCTGCAGAGACGCGTTGCGTCGTCCTCCCCGGCGAAGGGAACGGAAGTAGAACGAACACTCTCGGACACGCAAGACGAGCGTCGCGGTAAATGTCCTTGTAATCGTTTCTCCAATCCTTTTCTTAATTATAAATTCTAATTCGCGTCCTCCTTTATTCGTCGAGTCAGCGATCGATATTCGTCGAATATCGGAAATCATCGTTAATCGGCCTGCTTTAAGGCAGACTTAAGACTTTTAAGAAAATTGGCCAATCATGGAAAAAATTTTGAGACGAAGAACGATTTTGTTGAAAGGTCTAAAAATTTTACTGAATACAGATCTGAAAATTATTTCTTGTTGAACCATTAAAGAATTTTGTTTGAATGTTAAAAATGGTAAGCATTGCTATAAAACGTTGTGATATTCTAGCAATTACTTTGACTTTCTCCACAAAATTATTTTGATTATTGAACAAAAATTATTTTCAGATCTGGATCCAGCAAAATTGCTCTTTCCGCTAATCGATCGTTCATCTCACGCGAGAAAAATAATCGATTGTGATTGGTCAATTTTTTAAAGTAATCTCTCATTAAATCTTAAGGCGATGCTGGAAGGTCGCCGTATTTAGTGATATTTGTACGAGGTCCATAAAGCAGTCTGCTCAATTTCATGACAACATTTGATTAATATGAAAATTCTACAGTTTATATGTGCAAATTGAAAGTATGGCACCCTGCGGACAACAATAAAGAACAACACTGAATTGTTAGAACTAAGATAAAAGCCTATAAAAAAAGTTATTCACTTTTAAAGATTTCATGCAGATTTTATCGACCTCGTACAAATATCACTAAATATGGCGACCTTCCAGCATCGCCTTAAGTCTCAAGTCTCATTGTGTAAACGCCGCTTAAGGCAGCTTTGTTAAGGCAGTCTTTCTTTTTTATCTGTATCGACATTTCCGCGCGACCGTCAAGTTGTCTGATCGTTAGCCAATCGTTAATGATCTTAAGTAGAGTACTCAAGTAGCCTAAGCGACTCGTCGTGTTACTCGTGTGTGCTTTCGAATGTAGAACCCAAACGAAGGAGGGTTAAAACGCTCGACCCGATTCAATCGCAAAACGGAATCGCACCGTTTTGTTTCACCTTGAGCCGCGCGACCGTTCCATTCGCGCGGCTCACTGATCCCATTAACGCGGCTCCCATATCCGCGAAGCCCTACGCAAAAATACGTAGAACTTCTCTCTTTGATACGTCTCATATATGTGACTGAGTGAAGTGCGTCTCACAGTCGCGACATCACGACGATATGTGCGAGCAGGGCAGCTCGGTCAGAGCGAGGATAGCGTTGTTGGAGGGTGAATACTTATCAGACACAGGTTGCGTTGTCGCCAGTCTTGGAAGTGATCGTGTTTGCATCAGTCGAGTCGTTATTCTGTCGAAAAGAAAAAATAATTCACAGAGTATCGCTTCACTTAACCGGATAGATCATCGGAAAAATCTTTGCCTTCCGTCTTATATCTCTCAATTATTCCGAATAAAAATATATTCTTTCATTAAAATTTCGTAATGAAACAGTTTAATTAACGCTGCAATTTTGTAATGAGGCTGAAAAGCGGAGTGAACGAAATTATTCAACTTCATGCACGTAATTATCGTTACAAACAAAACATTTAAACGGTGGTCTAACGCGTCTAATTCATTCTTTCAATACCGTGGAGAAATTGAATATTATTTATTTAATTATTTATAATACAATATTTTATCTTTAATTTCAAGATTTATCCTCTCGAATTCTTCGAAAAAGTGAAACGACTTCTTGTGTGAGGAGTGGAGATTTATTAGAGTATGAGCGATGCTCGTACGATTGTCGCGCAAATACGATGTACCATTTGAGTCTTGATCTCATTGTCAGGGGATCGTTTATCGAATTTGCATTTTTCTCTTTCAGGACGAAAAATGGCACCGGTTCTGGGCGTGCCGCCTCCGCCACCACCAGCTCCTCACATGGGACCAGACGGCCTGATCTTGCCGAGGAAACCATATAACCCTTGCCTTATCTCCACTAGTCATAAGGATCTTCACAGGGAGTTGCTCTTCAATCAGAAAATGTAAGTCGAGTCGCTTCAAAATTTTCATTCGTTAAAACGCAAAATTACTTTAAGGAAAAAATAATCTTTACGAGAATGTTTACAGTAAAACTAAATTGTAATTCTCGCAAGTTTGATAAACATTTTTCTCTTTATTCGATTTAAATAATTACGTAAAATAAAAAATAGAAACTTAGAAACGCTATTACTGTTTCTTCTCTGTCAGAATTACGGCAGAATTAATCGCAGGATGTTTTAAATTTCCTTTCTTGAGGTTTTTTAATATAAAGTTTTCTCTTAATAAATTCTTTATCTAAAGTTTCTCCGAATGTCTTACAATTCCATTATTTCTCCTACGGTGAGCTCTTTACGGGTGAGGAACTCGTTCGGGTAGACAATTTCTTTTATCCGGTCTGCGGCGAGACCGGAATTTCGAGCGCGAGAGATCCTCCCTAAAGTAAATACTTTTTACCGCTTCTCTGCCCCCCGCCCTCCCTCCCCCGCGCGAAATTAATTAATATATTAATTAATACTGCGAGAGTGGTAATATTCGCGATGAAAATGGAAAGCCGATTAGCCGCGTGTAAAAACTTCCTGATGAAAGCTGGCACTGCTGTATGTACATATTTACAACGAATTTATTTTTATCGCGCGCGCGAATCCGAGCGTGATCGAAGTATCAGATCGCGGACTAAGTCCGAGTAAGAAGTTCGCGCTTGTAAGAACGTTATTTCTCGCGCGATTACGTTTTACACGCGCTTATTCTCGATCGCGGTCAATCGAGATATAGAATCGAATGTAACGTTTCCACGTTAATTATCTCCCTGTTTACGTCTAATCAGTATATACGCGATCGCGCGCTCGTAGCGCTCTTGAGCGCACCGCACCCGCGATCCTTCACGCTTCGGTGAAATTAAGCGGTTCACGCTTACCGATTTTTACCTTGGCACGTAATTCACGCCAGTTCGCATTCACGCGTGGCTTTTCCACTTGCAGGATCGGGACAACGTAATACGGTGCGTTCCTTGTCTCGTCCGTAAAATCAACGCATCCTTATTTTTACGCGTGCAAAACTCCACGTGTTTTACGTAAAAAACTTTTGCAAATTTTTCGTACGTTCGATTTTATCTTCGATATTCATTGACTCTCTAAAACGCTTCAATTTTTATTTATTACTCACTGAAGGGGGGGGGGAGGAGATTATTATTACATAATTACAGCAGCGAAAGCCGCTCTTCTTTTTAATCGGAACGGATCCATTAAATACGGGCTTCTCTTCCTTTCTGCAGCGGCAGGAACGTCTTGAACCAGAAGAGCGAGCTGCAGCGTGCCCTGGAGAAGCAGAGGGAAGCCGCGTCGAGGAGGGAGGCCGAGAGGATCCGTGAGGAGAGTTACAAGGACGATCCCAGGACCGCCTTGCAAAGGGCGATCGAGCAGAGAGCAAGACACATTCAACTAACGGTAATCCGAGATTTAACGCGCACAATTAGCTAATCTTTTTCCTTGAAATTATATTGTACCTTTGGGTTTCTCCGATCCTGACACCTGAGTCTCCTTACATTTCCAAATCCTCGAAAAAGATTATAATCGAAAAAGGTACTCAGTTTCTCTAGATAAATTTATTTAAGCGAAATCCTAGTCCCCTTGAGGAAGATTATCGATTATTTGATATCTTAATTCCTCAGTTCCTAAGATCCTCAAACTCTGAAATCTTTAATTCGGACGATCAGATGTCTGACAATTGTTTCGTTCTATCACGAAATTACAAAAGACACGCGAAATGCAGTAATTCCCAATTGAAATGCGCAGCTGTTTATCAAGCTAAACTCCGCGTACGCGCTGGATCTATTATTAAACGAAGAATTCTCATTATTTACAGCAGGAGCAATCGCGGTCGACGACGGAGCCGCCGAGCAACCTCCTGATAACGGCGAGGGCGAAGTTAAGGCCGCGCACTGAGTCGCAGTGAAGCCGGTGAAGATCGAAGGTCGCGCAAACCCGCCCGACGTCGCGCTCACATCACCCGGGTGAAGGAGAGGCGATCCCGCTCGAACGGGCGGCTCCGCTAATTTCACCCTCCGGCGCCTTATCGATCGCAATCAGTGTACATAATATGCATACAACCCGATAGGATTTCCTTGGCACGAGGATTATTAGCGGCGTCATTTGGCGCGTGGAGAGGCGCGCGTGTGTTTTAACAGGCGTTAAGGTCTTAATAGGCGTTAAGATAACATGATGAAACGTGTAGCGTAGCGCGCGCGCGCGCAATTGGTCGCTTATCGCGAGAGCAAGATCGCCGGGGAAATCTGTCTCCGTCTGAAAAAAAGGTATTTAACGCGCCACGTCGCCGCGTCAATCGTCCGCCGTAAAATCATTCCCAAACACCAAGCGCGAAGGACCACAACCAAACGACACGCGTCGTATCTCTCGAAGATTAGTCGCTATCTTTATGACGTGTCGAGTTTAGACGTCGTAAATTACGGTGTCGTATTGCGCGTATTGCCGCGGATCAACCGCGCGGGCCCTCAAGTGGTGATTCTCGTGTGTAAACATGCGTCTCGCATATCGGGTGTTCTCGTTGTACAATACAATCAGCAACCAATCACGTGTCTTCGTATAATAGTAGATCAGCGTGTGCCGAGCTTAGCCATAGATATATAGATTTGCCGATTTGTGTATCCAATTGAAAATCGCCCTATTAATGAGGATGTGTCTCATCGCATGTGCGCGTTAACTGTTAAATTAAATTTAATTCAATTTGATTAAAGTTATATTTATAGTTAGAGTTCTTAAAAGAGATTAGTGCAGATAATTTCAGACGAAAATATTATGGTGTGAAATACGCGATTGACACACAAACGTGGATACTTTCTTATCAATATGGCGGCATTCAATTAGAGATAAGTAGGTCTGTTTTTTTTTTATAGCTGAACTGGCTACACTAATTCAGAATTTATCTTTCTTCTTCCAATGTAGAAAGAGAAAGATAAATTGCGAACTAGTGCAGCAGTTCAGCTATAGAAAACAGACCTAAAGAATACTATGGTGGAAGATAGAACATCAGCAATCTATCTATATATCTATTAGCGCTTGACGACCAATTAGTACGTCGACGCGACAACGTGATTATGTTACGGGCAATTATCGGGTAAATGCGATAATGCAGTTGTATCGCACGTATATGAATGTCGACTCGGATGTAATAACCGGCGTATTTTTTCTTACGGAGAACGGAGGAGACTTCTCCGTCGCGAGGGCATCGGCGACGCGATAAGTGCACACACAGTAGGACAGATCGACAATAGATAGTAGCGGTAGACGGCGAGATAATGCGAAAGAATTTATTCGTGGACGACGTTTGTCGGGCGTTACTCGAACGGGAGACACTCGTCTCCGCTCCGAGCCTTTGATCTTAAGCGATACTTAACATTCTCTTTAATTTGGGAATATATACAAAATTATGTCGCCAAAATCGTCGACGGCGAGTACTTGCCAAGGGTCGCTCTCGAAACATAGGGCAGCGATAATAAAATCTAACGTTTCGTTACAAGCAAAATGACACTGTTTTGCGTCGTTTAGGGTTAATCGCTGGAGCACGAATCGCGAACGCCCGGGTATCCGCGTCTCCGGACGTGGAGTCTCTTCGTGCCGAAGGCGACGATCCCTTCCCCCGCCTCTAGGAAGTCACGACGGTGTTTTCCACGATCTTCGACGCAACTTCGGGCACGGAGAAAGAGTGTATTTTGTACGAAGCTTAGATCGCTGACGGTGGCATTATTTCGTTCTCGTTTTCGGTTCAACACACGGAATAAATAAACCTGTTTACAGTAAACACATAAGAATTCGCGATTCCGGGAAAATATATGCGACGTGAAAATCGCACGATTCACCGTTAAAGTTCCCGATTTGTCGCGGTGGCTTCTGATGCCGTGATTCAGCGCAACTGTATCAACGGGAACATTTCCAGATTTGCTTATGCGAATTAAAATTACATCGTTGAATGGAAGTGATGCCATCTGAAAGTGAAAGTAGTTTCCGCTCGGAGACGAGAGACGAATAAAGTCAGGACCTCCGTGGGACCATGTGTTCTTGTACTTCTCATTACACGGCAGTGAGAGAAAAATCCGACGTCTGCCTTGCATAGTAACAATTATTATTAATCGTATTTAAGTATCGAATCGACGTTAATATTAAACTATATTTCTCATGGCTCCATTAAGTTTTTTTTTTTTTTCATTTTTGACGAATCCTGCGAAGGCGCGCAGCGAGCGTTAGGTCGAAAATAAAAATGTAAGCCGTTAAGTTTGTTATAACTTTAATTTATCAAGCGCGATCCACGCGAGGATCATATATATATATATATACATATATATATATATATATATATATATATCTCGCGCTTAAGTGCGTAAGAAAATATTATCTGTATCCCCAAACCGATAGACGAGCCACACAAATGGGAGGATACTTTCGTTTTTTCTTTCTTCTTTTGTACAGTTGTCACGTGTATGTATATGCTAAACTCTACGTTTGTCGTTTCTAACATAAACTTTAACCACTGAATATATTCAGGACCTTGAGAGATCGTCGCAATGATAAAATCTCGGATTCCAAATATATTTTATTCAACACTAAACATCAAACCCCCGTCATTTCCATTCCAACGTGTAAGGAACCAAGTAATAAAGTGGATTAAAAAAAGAACGTTGCGAGAAATATAACAGCGAGTACAGATCCTTTTTTGTCGAAGTACATGTACTAGTGAAAATAAAAAAAAAACGGGAAAATGTAAGAAACGTATATCTCTAAGCGCCACACGGTGACATCTGGCGTTCTGCAGACGTTGCCGGTGACGTTTTTGTCGTTTATGTCGAAACTCGCGGCGTCGCGACTTTACGTGGTCAAAGAAAAGAAAGATAGCAGTACATCACACTCAGAAACCACGGTCGCTAAACGTATTACAATGATTACTCTTAATCGCATCGAACACTGTGCGGAATACGCGATGCTTCGACAATGATGTTACATCGAGATTAAAATACACACCTTGAGACATCCGACAATAATTCACGGTGAAAACAACGGTCGCGACTTTTTAATAATCGTCACCGCGGGAAATAACTTCTTTACATGTGGGGCGCAGAACGAGCGTGTGCTCGAACTGAGCGGTGTAGCAGCCCTTGACGTCGACCAACGGCGGGTACGCCTCCACGGCGCCCTTCTCGCAGAGATCCTTCAGCGCCATTTGGTACTTGGTGCAGCCGACGCGGTCCAACCAGCGCTTGCAAAATGCCAAAGTACCTGAAACGCGAATTATTCGAAAATTACGAGCGTTCGAGCACCGAGATTAAATTGTTGTTATTAAAATTGGTCAGAAAGTTTTATCGTATAAATAAATTCGTAAATACGAAAAGACTTTCTGGCCAGCCTAATAATTATAGCTTTTGTAGGTCAATCAAATATTCCTTCAATTTCAGGCTTCTTACCGAAGTGCTTGTTAATAGTGTTGAGAAGAGACTTGCTGCTCTGCAATCTCAATGGCACGAAACCGGCGTCGAAACTCTTCATGTAGTGCGAGCATTCCATGTCGTCGTGGACCACGCCTCTACCGGTAGATCCGAAGGTTTCGATCGCGTAGAACTCGTTTTCCTCCATGCGAATTGCCTCGCCGCCTCTGACTATCGGCACCGTTTTCCCGGCGTGTATGCGGTAGGGTGAGATCGAGTGGCCGTTCAGATTCCTAATCGATTTTACCTGTAAAAGGTTCAGTTGATTGAATCACGATCTTTGCCGGTTTTAATACTGATTTCTCTTTTCAAATATTTTCGCGCGATTAAATGTCAAATTAAAGTTTGGACTTGCGACAGAACTGTAGGAATTTCATACATTCTCGGCTAAAATCAAGCTACTTGCTATCAAAGATAATTGGATCTCATAAATCCAAGTAAGAAAATTAAATAGGTTCAAAAGTGATATTTCGCATAAATCGCATTCTATGTATATTTCATACCTGATACGTCTTGCCGTCCAGTTCCACCTCGTACGATTCCATGACTTCCTGAATAGCGGCACCAACGTCGCACAATTGCACGTCAATACCGGCGGCCTTGATACCGGTGTTGGTGGCGTCGCGGACAGCCTCGATCAGCTTGTCGTACTTGGGATTGAACGTCAGGGTGAACGCGCAGTCGATGATACGGCCGTTGATGTGAGTGCCGAAGTCGATCTTGGTGACGTCGTCGTACTCGAGAACGGTCGGATCGCCGGCGTTCGGGGTGTAGTGGGCCGCGCAATGGTTGCGGGAGCAACCGGTCGGGAAGGCCAGTCCGGCCAGGAGGCCGTCCTCGCCTATCAACTTCCGAGCGGTCTCCTCCAGCTCGTTGCAAATCTCTATCATGGTCATTCCCGGCTTGATCTGCAAAATTAAAGAAATACATTCGCAAGACCGCGCGACTTATTATCATTTGCGCAACAGATGTAGCTCGATGTTTACTTTAAAATCTTACGTAATCTACATTTTGAGAATTAACAACTTGTTTCACATACCCATTTCATGATGTGCTTCCTCGTCTGTCGATGCGCCTCGGCCGCCTGTCTCGCCTCATTGTAAATATCATTGTGCATTCTGTCGAGGGCGCGCGCCTCCTCGCTCGTGAAGCGCATCTTCGCCATCCTGTCGTCTATCCCGGCGGAGCCGTGAACCATCACCTGCCCGACTGGAAAATTGCCGTCCGGGAATAATTCCGACACGGGAATTCTCGGCGGATCCGTCTGCTGCTTAATGCCACCCTTGTCTTTGGGTTTGCGCTTCTTCTTCTTCTTCTTCTTGGCCTCCTCGTTCTCGCCGTTGTTCTCGGTCGCCTCAGCGGTCGCCTCGGTGGTCACCTCGGCGGTGCCTAAAAATTTCAATCGAATAATTTGTTGCGGCATGAACATTTGTCGAATGCTATTTAATGTTCAATTTCAAAATCTATAATTGTAGGTACAAAAATATAGGGAAACTCCACTGACGATACCTTCGGCCACTGCGTCCTCATCCTTGGCCTTATCGTCTTCCCCTTCCGGCACATCTGCACTGGCTTCTCCAGCACCTGTACGAACATATCCATTATCAATATTTTATACGAGATCAATAATGTAATTTTTTTTATCGAAAGCTGACATATATATATATATATATATATATATATATATATATGAATTTTACAGAGTTCAAAAGTTCCACTTAGAATCAAGTTTGAAATTACAGAAAGAGAGCACTAGATATATGCTAGAGGCAAAATATGTGTTCTATTTTCCGCGACTGGCAGTATTTTCAATGTCAGACTTGTGTTCATTACGCACGTTTCGGACTTAAATAAAATTCGATAACAACAAACGCGAGGATCTTTATCATTTAACGCGGCATTTATCAATGTCGTTAACATAAATACGTTTTTTCCACGTCACATTGCACGCGGGGAAGCGACTGCCGAGAGCCTTGAAACTTGTCAAATTTATTACTCCGCATATTTAAGGGAAACGTCGCGAATGAGTTTGTGGAGCGAGCTGATCGTCCCCCGGTGACTTCGCGATCGTTGCATCGCGGCGTGACGACGAAAATCCGTTGAATCGTCAGATGCGGACCGCGTGCGGCAAAAAATCGAGGCGTGACACTCGGGGACACACGTTCGCCGTTTAAGAGCAATGCTCGTACAGAACGCACCGGCCTTCTTCTTCTTTTTTTTCTTCTTCTTCTTCTTCGACGCCTCCGCCGCCCCGGTCTTGTCCTCGACGTCGACGATCTCGTCTTTCTCCTCGTCCACGAGTTTCTCGGCGGACTTGCCGACCTCGTCCAACACGGCCGCCATTTTCGCGAATGATGAGTTGATGACCAAACAATGCAGCGGCGCGCGGAACTCCGGAGTCCGGCCGCTCTGCCCGCGACTGCGCAAATAAAAAAACGTGGGAGAATCGTGCGGAGTAAGATTACCGATCGCCAGGCGGACGGCGAACGTTTTTACCGATTATGTGATATGCAAGATGTATTAATATATACATACATACATATGTATATGTATATGATATGTATACATGTATATGTATAGTATATACATATATATATAACTTAAAATTAGAATTTTCTTATACGAACAAATAACAACATATTTTCAATTTACGAATTCAAAATTTATGTGTTTATACAGTCAAACCTCGATAATTCGAACCTCTATAACTCAAAATATGTATATATGTATATATATATATATATATATATATATATATATATATAATATATAAAATGATATAATTTAAAAAGAAGTGCCAGTGTAAAATTGAATTTAAAAACATTTATACTTTTAATTTTCCATAAGTAATATATATCTAACAATAAGATAACTTTATCATTATTATACAGTTATATTTTATAGTGATAACAGCGTTTATGACCGTTCTAGGGCAAGCCCTCTATAAGAACAATCAGAACAATTAAAAATATATAAGTACATACAGAGAAATACAAAAATATAAGGATGTACAAAATGAAAATAACAAAAATAATAAACTAATAAAAAGAGTAACATGATATAAATATGCGGGAAAAGTAAAATATATTATAGATGCAAATAAAATTTAAAAAAAGATGAAAAAAAAAGAAAAAGTTATCGACGAAAAGCAAATGAAAATTAAAGTAACGTAGTAATACTAAAAGGAGAAATAAAAATAAAATTAAAAATAATAAGCAAAGAACGTAAGATAATTAAACAGCCGCGCTCCGCCGCAGATGACAGCTAAAGAAAGAAGCAGAGAGAAACCTACTGATTGTTAAAATTATTTAACGTTTATATAATTATTTAATGCCTTTTTGCACTGTTTGCGTTAAACACTCTTTGTGCACGTTTCTAATTTCATATTTTAGCATTTCACTTAGATATTATAGTTTTGATTAGTTCATTACACAAGCATTGTGTTTTAATATACATGTTATTCGAAAATCAGTCGCGCGGTCATGTATACGCAACTTTGCCTTTCTCGATCGCAACAATATATTTTAAAACAATTTATTATTTAATTTTTTTCGAGAGAGTATGTATGTCTTTCATTAAAAAACGTATGATATTGCCAAGTTAAAAATGAGTTTTTGAGATTGCCGTCGTAATTCAAAACTTCGTTTTTTTAAATCAGCTTTAGCAAAAATTCTATAAATCACTTTATCGTTTAATTTTTTTGAAAAAGCATATATCTAGCATTAAAAAACATATAGCATTGCTGAGAGAAAGATATTTTTCGGTAATCGTCCAGCATCGCTTGTCTACACTTTCCCCGTAATGCAAAAATATTACGAAACCTTTATTTATCGTTTTTAATTCTTTTTGAGCATGCTTTACATTATTAAACGCATGGCATTGCTAATATGTATAAAGATATTTCTCGTGAATCATTTGGTATCGCCCGTTGGTATTTGAAATTTTGTCAAACATTTTATTATTCAATCATATATTCCGAAACTTTTTTATTATTGAAATGTTTACAATATTAAAATAAATTAACGTTTTTAGAATGTTAAATTGACTTCTTTTTATCGGGATTTATTATGTAATATAATTACAACAATTTTTATTGTAAAATTATTTGAATGATTACATACCATTTTATTAATATACTTATATATATACCTGGACTGTGTGATTCTTTCTTATATACTTTGATGAAAATTCAAAAACAGTATAGATACATTTGGACATATCTGGGGCTTCGTCTTTCTCGTCGATTGTCAATGCCATTGTGCATTATTTATAAAAAGCAAATATGTTTTGTCGTTTAATTCTCTTCGAGAGAATATGCGTTGCAGAGGTTGCACTAGCAAACGCATGGATAACAAAAAATATTTCTCATAGTCATGATTCATTCCGTGTCGCGCGTTGCTTAATTATTGATCGCAATTATGAAACAATATATTCTAAATTTTTTTTTGAATTTATTAGAAAAAAGAATGCTTTTTTTATTAAAGAACATATATAACATTGTTAAAAGTATTTCTATAAAATCTTTCGGTTTCTCGGCCGCGTCTCGATGTACAAAAAGCTCCGCTTTACATGTCGACTTATATTATTATAGGCAGCAATATTTCAAAACACTTTAGGGATGAATTTTTTTTGAATGCAATGTTCAAGAAAACATGTTTTGTAATGACAAGTACATGACATTGTTAAATTAAAGATATATTTTTCTTGAGAGTCGTCTAAATACTCGTATATGTATGTATCTGTCGTCGAAGTTTCGCATTTCTACATTTGATCTACATGCATATAATATATGTGTGGAATGTATTGACTTGATCGTAGAAGGCTTTTATTTCCTTTTTATAAAATTAAATACTTAATTTTACAATCTTTCAATATATGAGAACTGCAAATGCAGTTGGAATTACAATCGGACAGTTGTAGAATGATTGAATATATATATATATATATATATATATATATATATATATTTATTAGTTATATACATTCTTACAAAAAACCAATATACTTAATATTGGAAATTACTTATTTTGAGGATTGGTCATCTTTTAATATTTATTCAATAACTATTACCTTCCAGTATTAAACTTCTATAAGAGCGTACATAATATACTCGTATATCTAATGTAGACCTGCAACCACCTGCAACCATCGGTAAGCGATTGCCCAGATGTAGATCGATGTTAACGTCTACACCTGAACGATCGCTTTACCGATGTGCTCGCCACGCAGTACGTCGATGAAAGCACGGAACATGTTCTCAAAGCCATTGGTTACAGTCTCGCGGCAAGAGAGCTTGCCATCACGAATGAGCTGCAGGTTCTTATCCATAATTTTTTCGTTCCAACAATTCGTCCTGTATGGAACGATAAAGCCCGTCACCTGATTGCTGCAAGTAGGCAATTTAGTGAATATCATGGGTTGTAGGATCGTGGACTTGGGCAAGGACCAGGAGTTCACATCGCTCGAGATGCTGATGCCCACGGCCACCTTCTGGCCGATCTTTATGCTATCTATGACATCGCTAGAAATTTCCCCGCCGACCTGTAAAGTTAATTAACGTGAATTAAATCTCAATAGTTAAGGGGAGAGGACAGTATGTTTTAATCAGTTTTTAATGGATTTTTTTAACGCAGAAACAATTCTATCAAAAATGTATTGAAGAAGTTAAAGATTGAAAAATAACAATTACAATTAATTTATACCCAATATGATTTAATTGATCGAGAAAAAGACGTGATATCTTATCAATGCGCACATTATCGAAGTAGTAATCCACGCCTTGAGGAAAGATCTTTTTTAGATTGGTCACAATCTGCGGCCCTGTAAAGTCCTTGTAATTGATGACGTAATCGAAATGTAGTTCCTCAAGCCACTTGCACTTTTTCTCGGAACCGCATATACCGATAACAGTCATACCCAAATACTTGGCAAGCTGTCCTACATGCGAACCGATTGCACCAGCGGCTCCGCTGATGATGATTGTCTCGCCGCGTTGCGGTTTGCATAACTCCGACAAGCCAAAATATGCTATGTTGCTGTAAATAAGAAAAAAGGAACTTTATGTAAATAGTTTATTTACTGTATACCGTTTTCTTCTTGTGTTATTGACTACAGAAATATATATTTAAGTATGTTTAATAAAAAAAAAAAATTTTTTTTTATCATAATTGGGCATATACGTATATTCTAATAACTGCATGTTGCCGGTTTATGATTCACGTACATAATCTACACAAAGTTCAAATGCAAATCAGCGTCGAGACAAATAAAAAGTATATTTATTCTGTGTCGCCTTTTAAATTTTACATGTTATTTTTTTCCATGAAACAATAAGCAAGCGAACGTAATTGCAGAGCGATCGCGTAAATATGTTTGTGAAAATCTTTACCCCGGCATTCCCAGCACGCCTAGGGCAAGGGACGACGGCAGGTCGCCTATATCCGGCAAAATGTACGTTGGCTGAAATGTCCCCACATAGCGTTAGATATTCATAATTAAAATGTTCGAAATCATATTTCTATTATTCCACATATATAATATTTACTATTATCTGGGCCGGGTCTTTGGCGGTCGGATCGACGATCGTGTGCGTTCTCCAGCCCAGATATCCTACGATCCTTTTGCCGACCCGGAAATCCGAATTCCTAGATTCTATGATCTTGGCGACCTGGCTGCCGATCATCGTAGTTCCAATCGGGAATCTTTTCACATAATTTCTTATATATGAGTCCACAGAAAAAAATTCAGCTTCCACGAGATATTCTAAAAAAAAAAAATATTTTTGATTACGGTGCGATTAATCACACAGTCAATTCCAGCGACTAAAGATTTTCCATTGACCAAATGCTGCCAGTGGCTTATGGTCAATCACAACTGCATGTTGTGCAATACATCATCTATAATAGTCGTGTTCGGGAAGCATACTATTAGCACTATTGCGCCATTCTGTTCTTGTTTTAATGAAAAAGATAACAATAAAAATAAATTAAATGACGTATAATAGTGCTGATAGCTCGCATGCAACTTTTCTCTCCCACTGAACAAAAAAGAGACATGTTAAATGGCGTAAGAAGTTTAAACATAAAAAAGACAAATTTGAGAGATAAACAAAGAAGTATTTTAATTATTTATTTACTTTTAATATAATCCTTACCGCGTAGCTTAGGATGACTTCCAAGTCTTCCAATATATAAAATCATCTTTCGTCTTACATTCTTTACTTGACAATTACAATTACTTATAATTTACATTATGATAAACGAAAAAATATTATATAATATAAAATTTGTTAATATAACAAATAAACCACTGCCTTTCTAATTTTTTGCTTACGAAACAATGCTTGTGAAAAGATATAGGAATTAAAGAGCAATTGGATAATCACGCGTATAATTACACATATTTATTAAATAACGCGCTTATCGACGCTTTCATATGTTCGTACAATGTTTGTAATTTTGTGTCATTTTTTCCTACCTCCATTTCTTAACGACCGCAGCTCCTCTTCCACCAATCGTAGATCCGTCGGATTTGGTTCGTTAACAAAATAATTTGCTATTACGTATTTCCTCGCCTTCATCTTGCGGGATTGCGTCGAAAACTATCGGATCCAAAAGCCCTTCGAGTTTGGTCTTGTCGCTGATTTTACCTGCACCGTTATCGCGAAGAGGATGACTAACGGCGGACGTGATATAGCAATTGGTCGTGATAAAGCGACAAGGGTTCCACGATGACAGCTCACGCTGCACTGCTTTGAACATGCACTTGATCGTCTTTACATGAACCGTTTAAAGCTCACGCTCACTTATCAAATAAGTTTTTCCTTAAAGAAAAGATAAGCAGACTGATCAAATTTCTTCAGAATTGTATCCGGTAATTTATGAATCAAACAGTTTGAATTATTATATCTTATTAACAAGATTCTCTGCAAGAACAGGCGCTATAATATGAAAGCTTTGGACGGAGTTATTGCACTAATAATGCAATAGAATGCGATTAAAGAGTTAATTTATTTTCATCAAAAATGCAAATTGTGTAATACAACGCTACATATAATTGTACCATATTTATCGAAGAAGAATTCTTATCAATCAGAACGTGACTTAAACGTGACGTGGAAATTCGGTAGATCTGCAGATGTACAATGCACGTATAATATATGTATGAACGGCCGTTTTCTTTTTGCAATACGCAATTAAAAGTTACAGATAATCTCAACAAATCTCTAATAATCAAATAAAAATAGTAGACTCTATGAAGCATTAATACAATTCACGTTTAAATTAATTCGTTCTAGTTCGCATTACAAAATTTATGCGCCCTACATCATACCTATAATGCAATTCAAATTCATTATAATTATATACAGACATTGCGGCACTTAATTGCTGCGCCGAACTTTGAATTGGAAATCGAAAAGGTCGTTTCGTATAAGCAAACCCAAAATCTCTCCAATGGAAAAGAAGAAATACTTACAAAAAATAATTCACACACAATTCACGTTTTTAAAATATTTGAACAATATTTCTAAACCCATGATACTATATATAATTTTGCAGCAATATTTATAAAATATTACACAAAAATGATAAAAAAATATACGTAATATTAACGTTTAAAAAAATAGGTAGTAGTTGATATGGTTCTTCTTAATTGTTTTGTAAGGATATATACGGAGTGTATATCGCAACGTCGATCGACGTTGACGTCTACGCCTGGACGATCGCTTTGCCGACGTTCTTGCCGCGCAGCATGTTGATGAAGGCATCGAATATATTCTCGAAGCCTTTGGTCACGGTCTCGCGATAACGGAGCTTGCCCTCGCGAATCAATCGCAGATTATACACAATTCCCTCGTTCCAACGATCCGCCCAGCGTGGAACGACAAAGCCCTCCATCTTCAATTGGTTGAACACCATCACGGGTTGCAGGATCGTGGACTTGGGCAAGCTCGAGGAGTTCGCGTTATAGCTCGAGATGCTGCCACACACGGATACCCGGCCGAACAGCTTCATCTGGTACATAACATCGCTAGAAATATCCCCGCCGACCTGTAAAGTTAATTAACGCGAATTAGGCCACAATAGTTAATCACAGAGAGAAGATATATGAATAATATCTTATGCAATAGTGTTTCAAATGGATTTTTCAAAGCCGAAAAAATTCTGTCAAGATGAGCGTGCTGTAGAAGATAAAGGTTGAAAATCAATGATTTATACGCGATGCGATTTAATTGATCAAAAAAATAACGCGATATCTTATCAATGCGCACATTATCGAAGTAGCAATCCACGCCTTGCGGAGCGGCTTTGCGTAAACTGGCCGCGACCGGCATGGTCTTGTAATTGATGGCGGAGTCGAAACCCAGTTCCTCAGTGAGCCACTTGCACTTCTCGTCGGAGCCGCATATACCGATCACAGTCATACCCAGATCTTTGGCAATCTGGCCCACGTGCGAGCCGACCGCACCAGCGGCTCCGCTGATGACGATTGTCTCGCCGGATTTCGGTTTGCATATCTCCAGCAAGCCGAAATACGCCGTGTTGCTGTAAATAAAACAAAGAGAGCTTCGTATGAATAATTTATTATTGTATCTATCTTTTTTTTTGTGTTATTGACTACAGAAATAGATACTTATCTCTAATGGCAATATCTAATTTAATAACTGCAATGCATTGAACCGGTTTATGTTAATTTACATAATCTACACAAGGCTCAAAGTTTAAATGCAAGTCAGCATTGCGACAAATGAAGAATAAATTTATTTTGTATCGTAGCGCCTTTTAAATTTTACTTGTCTCTTTTTCCGTGAAACGATAAACTAGTGCACGCCACTATATAGGGCAATCGTGTGAGCAGGTTTGCGAAAATCTTTACCCCGGCATTCCCAGCACCCCTAGAGCAAGGGACGACGGCAGATCGCCTATGTCCGGCAAAATGTATGGTGATTGCTGGAATGTCGCGTCTTTGGCGGTCTTTTCATTGACGATCGTGTGCGTTCTCCAGCCCAGGTTTCCAACGACCCTTTTGCCGACCGGAAAATCCGGATTCTTAGATTCTATGATCTTGGCGACCTGACTGCCGATCATCGTGGTCCCAAGCGGGAATCTTTCCACGTACACTCTCATGTATGGGTCCACAGAAAAGTACTCAGCTTGCACGAGATATTCTAAAAGAGAAATAAATATTTATTTTTTCAAAAAGTAATTTATTGACTTATTATAAAATTAATTTAATGTCGATAATGAAAAGAGCCAATAACAGAGAATATTAAAAATTTTCAATTTATCTTTAGCAAATTAACAAATTCCTATTATGATAGGAATTTATGACAGTCATGGTTATATAATATATAATAATATATTATCTATAATGGTTGCGTTCGAGGAGCGTACTATTAGCACTATCGCGCCATTCTGTTCTTGTGTTTAATGAAAAAGATAACGATGAAAATAAAATAACATATAGGTAATATAATGCTGATAGAGCGCAAGCTTTGCTCTGCCATTGGACAAAAAAATGAGACAAGATAAATGGTGTGAGAAGTTGAAACATAAAAAAGGCATGTTTAAGAAACAAGCAGTTAAATAAATTTTTCATTTTTTTTTATATGAATATGAATTTATACTAATGTAATATATAATTTATGTTAACATAACAAATAAATCACTGTCTTCCTAATTTTTTCTCAAAGGGTCCATTTATAATCAACATTGGTTGTTACACAAAATAATTGATCTTAAGACTGAATGACGTTTTGCGCAACTGTTGCGTAAAATCAAAATGTTTTTAATTTTTTTTGTCCAAAATGCTTGTTTCATAAATTATTTAATTATTTTGGGAATGATAGTGTTGCATAAATTTGATAATTGAAGGGGCCCATTTACGACCAATCATTTTGCTAAAAATTGCTTGTTGCACAAAATGATTAATCGTGAATAGGACTAATTAATGGTTTGCGCAACTGTTACGTAAAATCAAAACCTTCCTGATATTTTTTTTAGCAAAAAATGAGCAACGCTTGTTAAGCAAATTATTTAATTGTTTTGTGAATGATGGTGTTGCATAAATTTTTTTACTTAAAATCTGACAAAGTGTACTATAATGCTTAATAAATAATTAGTTTTCAGTGTATGGGTATAGAAATTATACCTCAGGCTTTAACACTGGCTTAGTGACTTTACAAATTGTGATTCTTATACTAGCTAAATTTCAAAAAGAAATTTGATCAATAAAAAAGAAAGAAATGTCGAATGCTCCATTTGCGCGAAGTTATGCATTATCAGAAGCAGCGCTCACTAATAAATCTTTCAAATGTTTGTAAATGTAGCACGTTTTTACCACTCTTCTATCCAAAATTATTTACGTTTCCTTTTTGAAGCCTTTTCGGAACTACAATGCAAATATTAAAGCTACGTAAGCTTCAATATAGTGTTATCTTTATTTTAGTATTTATATTAATTTAAATAATGCTGTAACTAGTACGAAACAAACACCATTAACAATTAACTGTACAAAACTAAATTTTGCGCAATAAAACGTCAGCGTGTGTAGAATTTTATGTTACGCAAATATTTTTTGCGCAAAATAATTGATCGTGAATGGACCCCTTTACGGAACGATGCTCGCGGAGAGATACAGGAAGAAGCAATTGGATAATCACGCGTGTATAATATAATCATACCTATTTGAAATAACGCGCTCATCGACGCCTTATATGCTCGCACAATGTTTGTAATTTTGTGTTATTTTTCCCTACCTCCATTCTGCAACGGCGGCAGCTCCTCTTCCACCAATTTTAAATCCGTCGGCTTCGCTTCATTAACGAAATGATTCACTATTACGTATTTTCTCGCCTTCACCATTTTGCAAGATTACGTCGAAAACTTTTGGATCTAAAGGTGAACTCTTCGAGTTCGGTCTCGTTTGCTGATTATAACCACCGTTATCGTCACCGTTATCGCGAAGGGGACGACTAATGATGGTCGTGATAAGCAACAATGGTTCCACGATGACAGCTCGTGCTACACTGCTTGAATATGCTCTCGGGTCGTCTTTACATTCACATTCTACATGACTCGTTTACTGAAACCACGTGTTCGCGCTCACGTATCAAGTAGCTCTCCCTCTTAAAGAAAGGATAAGCAGACCGATCGAAGTTCTTCAGAATCCGTCATCCGATAATTTAGGAACTAAACAGTTTAAATTATCATATCTTATTAACAATATTCTGCAAGACGAACGCTATAATGAAATCTTTAAACGGAGTTATTGCAAAAACAATGCAATAGAATGCAATTAAGAGTTAATTTATTTTTATCGAAAATGCAAATTGTGTAATACACCACTACACATAATTATATAACTATATTTATCGGAGAAGAATTCTTATCAATTAGAATGCGACTTAAACGTGGAAGTTTGGCGGATCAGATATACAGTGCATATATAATAATGTATAAACGGCCGTGTCCTTCTCAGGGTATGCAATTAAAAGTTATACGAATAATTTCAACGGTTCCTTAAAATAATCATATAAAAATAGAAGACTCTATTATATTGTGAAGCATAAATACATTCCACTTTTAAAATAATTTGCCTAGTCGGTCTCACAAAATTTATGCTATATCATACCTATCGTGCAACTCAAACTTATTGTAATTATGTACAGACATTGCGGGACTTAATTATCACGTCAAACTTTGAATTGGAAATTGGAAAAGTAGTTTTATATACGCGAACCCAAAATCTCTCCAGTAAAGAAGAAATACTTACAAAAAATAATTCACGCACGGTTTATGTTTTTAAAATGTATTTAAACAATATTTATAAAATCATGGTACTGTATATATAATATATTGTGTAATATTTACAAAATATTATGCAAAAATAATCAAAAAATATACATAATATTAACATTTAAAAAAAATAGATTTAATGGTTCTTCTTGAATGTATACCGCAACGCCGATCGACATTGACGTTTATAGATGTCCAGGTGTACACACCTGGACGATCGCTTTGCCGACGTTCTTGCCGCGCAGCATGCCGATGAAGGCATCGAACATGTTCTCGAAGCCTTTGGTCACGGTCTCGCGATAACGGAGCTTGCCCTTGCGAATCAACTGCAGATTGTGCATAATTCCTTCGTGCCAACGATCCGCCCAGCGTGTAACGATAAAGCCCTCCATCTTCATTTCGTTGTACACCATCACAGGTTGCAGGATCGTAGACTTAGGCAAGGACGAGGGGTTCGCGTCGTAGCTTGAGATGCTGCCGCACACGGCTATCCGGCCGAACGGCCTCATCTGGTACATGACCACGCCAGAAATATCCCCGCCGACCTGTAAAGTTAATGAACGCTGTGGATTAGATCTTAATAGCTAAGCACAGGAGAGAAAAATGATATGTTTCAATCTGTTTCAAATTGAATTTTCAACGCGGAAAAAATTCTATCAAGAATATATTAAAGAAAATAAAGGTTAAAAAGTAATAATTTATAGGCGATACGATTTAATTGATCGAAATAAGATACGATATATTAGTGCGTACATTATCGAAGTAGCAATCTACGCCTTGCGGAGCGGCTTTGCGTAGACTGGCCGCGACCGGCATGGTCTTGTAATTGATGGCGGAATCGAAACCCAGTTCCTCAGTGAGCCACTTGCACTTCTCGTCGGAGCCGCATAAACCGATCACAGTCATACCCAGATCTTTGGCAATCTGGCCCACGTGCGAGCCGACCGCACCAGCGGCTCCGCTGATGACGATTGTCTCGCCGGATTTCGGTTTGCATATCTCCAGCAAGCCGAAATACGCCGTGTTGCTGTAAAAGAGAAAGAGAACTTCGTGTAAATAGTTTATATACTGTATATATCTTTTTTTCTTGTGTTAACTGCAAAAATATATACTCAATTATCTCTAATAAATGAAAAATGTATTTTTATCACAATTGGGCATATACATATATTCTAATAACTGTATGTTGCCAACTTCATGATTCACGTACATAATCTACACAAAGTTCAAAGTTTAAATGCAAGTCAGCGTCGCGACAAATAAAAAGTATATTTATTCTGTGTCGCCTCTTAAATTTTACACGTTATTTTTTTCCACGAAACGATAAGCAAGCGCACGTAATTGCAGAGCGATCGCGTAAATATCGCGTATATGTTTGTAAAAATCTTTACCCTGGCATTCCCAGCACGCCTAGGGCAAGGGACGACGGCAGGTCGCCTATGTCCGGCAAAATGTACGTTGGCTGAAATGTCCCCACATAGCGTTAGATATTTATAAAATGTTCGATTCCATTGTTCCATATATATATATATATAGTATTTACTAGTATTTGGGTCGCGTCTTTGACGGCCGGATTGACGATCGTGTGCGTTCTCCAGCCTAGGGATCCTACAATCCTTTTGCCGACCGGAAAATCCGGATTCTTAGATTCTATGATCTTTGCGACCTGACTGCCGATCATTGTGATCCCACGCGGGAATCTTTGCACGTACGGTCTCATGTATGGGTCCACAGAAAGATACTCAGCTTCCACGAGATATTCTAAAAAAAAAAAGAAAATATATATACAATATTGTATCAAAAAGTAATTTATTGTGACAGATAAAATTAATATCGATATTGAAAAGAGCTAACAATACCGATTTATAATTTATAATTTAATTATTAATATTAGCTTATATTTCAAGCCAAGAACACTATAACGTATATTTTTAATAATGTATATTGTATGATACATATTTTTATTTTTATTTTTTAGATGTTAATTATACCCTATTCTTGATCCATACTGTAGCCCTGACAGTGAATGGCGTTAATACTTCAAAACTTAATTAATTATGATTCAACGGAAATATATTCAAATTTATTTTTCACACGTAGAATTATTTACATATTTTGCATAATCACGGTTCAGAAAAATTGTATATTATGACAGAAAATGTTAAAAGACGAAATTAGCAAGCAATTCGCTAGCAGCTTTATCTTTGTGTATTTGCTATACTAATCCACTATCTATTACAAAATAAAACAATTCGTTCATTTATCAAGACTTAATACTGCATTAATATTTATATGCAAATTATATCTTGCCAATGTGCTAATGCGGAAAAAAGACATATAAGTTGAACACTTTTATGTTTCGTTCAATGAAATGTTTATACTATTTTCTTTTAACACAAGTCATTGTACAAGCATCGTTATCGTGCCGCGCAGCGAAATATATGATTTGTCATTGTGTTTATCCGCTTCATAAATCGAAAGTTAAACATTTATATCTTTAAAATTTAAATCTATAAATATTGGAAATCGACAGTACACTCTGCAGTAATATAAACTAATCAATAAAATATAAAAAAAAGATACTTGAAAATTATCTAATCACGACCGGATAACAAACGATAAAAATTCACAATTTGCAATAGACTGATAAAGTTGTAATATGAAGGATTCATTTGATAACCGTAAATAAAATATCTAAAAGCAAAAATTTTAAAAAAAATTAAGAATTTATCTACAATAAATGTATGAATTTCTATTCTGATACGGACATGACTTTGTAACGTATCATCTATAATACTTGTGTTCGAGAAGCGTATCCCATTTTGTTCTTGCGGACATTTATTTAGTGGAAAAGATAAGGATAAAAATAAAATACATAATAGCGCTGATAGCGCGCATGCAAATGTCTCACTTCTCTCCCACTGGCGAAAAAAAAGAGAAAAAATATAGATAGCTAAGAAGTTCAGGTATAAAAAAAAACATTTCATAATCATAAAGATAGAAGGTGTATATATTATACGATTTATACAATATATGTATATGAATATAACATATAACAAATAAACCATTGTTTTTCTCTTTTTTTTTTACAGAACAATGCTGGCGGAGAGATTCAGGAGGGGCAACTGAATAGTCACGCGTGTATTCTCGAATCTCCTATTTGAAATAACGCGCTTATCGACGCTCTTATATGCTCGCACGATGTTTGTGACGTTATATCATGATGTTATATAATTTTCTCCTACCTCCATTCTGCAATGGCGGCAGCTCCTCTTCCACCAGTTTTAGATCCGTCGACTTCGCTTCGCCCACGAAATGATTCACCACTACGTACTTCCTCGCCTTCACCATCTCGCGGGATTGCGTCGAAAACTTTCGGATACAAGGGCCCGTTGAGTTCGGTCTCGTTGCTGTGATTTCGCCGGCGTTATCGCGAAGGGAATGAGTAATGACGGTCGTGATAAAGCGACAATGATTCCACGACGACAACTCGCGCTGCACTACTTTGAACATGTTGTCCAGGATAGTTTTTATCGAACACACGAGCTGCTTAATATACGCGTATGCGTGGTATAACGTTCAGGTATAATGAGCGTATATCAAGCAGATTCTTCTTGTAGAGGGAGCAAGCAAGCCGACAAAGCTCTTCAAAACCTGTTATCTGGTAATTTATAGGAAACTGAACAGAAATTATTCGAATTATCACATCTTATCGACAATGTTTCTGCAAGACGAGCTCTGTAACGAAAGCTTTGGAATTATTACACTAACGCAACAAGAATGCGATTAAGAGTTAATATATTTTCATTGAAACTGCAGTTATATAATACAACGCTACACATAATTGTACCATATTTATTGGAGAAGAATTCCTGCCAATCAGAAACCTACATTAGAAGTTTGGCGGACAATATAATATGTACAGTTCATTTATATATATGAATGTTCTTCTCGTGATACTCAATTACACGTTATAAATAATCTCAACGGGTCCCTAAAATAATTATATAAAAAAAGAATATCTCTATCGAGCACTAATCCATTTCACGTTTCTAATAATTCGTTGTGGTTCGCTTCACAAAATTTATGCGCGCTACATCAGATCTACCGTGCAATTCGAACTCGTCGTCAATTATATACAGACATTGCGAGATTTGCCACGCCAAACTTTGAATTGGAAATTGGGGAGGTAATTTTGTATACGCAAATATAAAATCTCTCAGTAAAAAAGAAAAAATCTTTAAGAATTCAATATCATGTGATAAAGTCCCGCCGACTCATTTACCTATTTTGTTTTGCAGTGACTTCGTGGAGCGATAACGAAATCGCGACTGAAGTCCACAATCCATGTAATAACATTGACATCCGTACTTCAATATCGGAAATCTAAACGCTTGTATCTAATCTACAGGCTCGCCTACTTTTTTAAGGCAAAAACACAATAGCGCGATCAATGTCAAATCCACCACTTTGATCCGAATTATATCTTCTAATTTCGACTTATAAATACTTTATGGTCATGCAGTTTATTTTTATTTTTCTTCTACAACCTAGTTTAAAAATCAAATACAATTATTGAATTAACACAATGAAACAATTATTAAATTTTACAAATCGTAATGCTCAGCATTGTACGATATTAATTTACCGATATTAATATAACGAAGGCACTTCTCATGCCTTGCATTGCAGTCTGAAAAATAATAATCATTATATTCTTACAAAAAATTCTAATACTACTAAAAAAAACTTGATGTAATTCGATGTTATGTTACATCAGATATAATATTCCCTGAAATTTTTCGAAATTCAGCATCGTACGTCGCTTTATGGAGTTTCGGAGAATTATAAATGCAATCAAAATTACAAAATTGATCGGACAGTTGTAGAATGATTAATATTCAATATAACTTGCAGTATTAAATTTGATTTCTGTAAAGATCGATAAGTTATCGATCTTTACAGAATACTGCAAGTTACTTATATTGAATATTAAAAGCACTGTTGATATTTTAATTAAATACTTAATTAATTACTACACCTTCTAATATTAAATTTCCGTAAGGTATCAGGAGACGCGGTAGCATCTCCCGCAAGTATATTTTTTCACTAAATGACGATCAGTAGGCGTTTTTGTACTTAATTAACAGAAAACGCTACAGTGTATCCTTTACCGGACGGATAACGATTCTGTAGGAATAAATTATTATTTCTTTTAATTATATGGATAATATCGGTAAATTCCTAATCCGTGGAAAATAGACCTTAAAAATGTAAAAAAACCGCCAAGTATATTTTTTAACGTTTTTACCTCGAAAAAAATTGTATCAGATTTAAAAAAATGAGACCTTTGTATCATCTTAAACATATTTATAATATGACTTAAAAAAAAACTGTTGTTAAATTATAAAAATTAAATTATAAAAAAACTTAAGTGGCATTATCTTCAATATATAACAATCACGCAAAATTATTTTTTTTTTAATATACCCCGAAAAAAACTATTGTATTAAATTAAACAAATAAAATCCAAGTTGTATTATCTCTAATGTACACATGATTTTAAAAAAATTTAATTTAATAAATTAAAAATATAATATTACCAAAAAGAAGTGAAATCAAAATATTATTTCAAATATATTTATTGTAATTAAATTAAAAACTAAAAAAAATAA